TTTCCAAATTAAATTCTCCATTTATTAAGACCTTCTATGAAAAAGACACCCCAAATTCTTCTGATCTATCCTACAGAATAAGAGAGACCTGACTAAGTCAACTAAGCAGCAGTTCTGGTTACTCACTCTCAGGAAACTTTCAGATTTCTATAAACTCAAAAGAACGTAAGAGGCTGGCAGCTTGTACTGCTGAGCAAGCTTTCTGGAGAGAAGATTTACCCACAGTTAAACCACAAAAAGAATTTAGGTATAGAAACATGCAATTCATAGAACTGTCCTAGTGCCATACTATGAACTGCTTAACTGCTCACTCCTCCAGCAGCATCTCCTATGAAAGATGCTGTCCACCCCAGCAGTGTCTTCCTAGGTCATACTGAGACATCAGCCCTGTAACTAGTTAGAAGAACACAGACCATCTCCCACATTTCTAACTGGCAGGTCTTACTTGGTAAAGAGGTCACTTGATAATTATAAAAACTAGCAATGTTAGTCTGGAGGAAAAGTCTTATAAAGGCCCTTTGCTGTAGGTGTGCATGCAACTCCTGGAGCCCCTTTTGTCCCATTAAACTCCAGGCTTTAGGGACTCTGAGCCTGAGCACAGAGCTTCCTGCCACCCAGCTGCAGATCAAACAGCAATTTAGCTCACCAGTGCAAAAGATTCAAAGAAAACATCTACAACACATTGCAGTGGGCTGAGCAACAGAGAGGCTTAAAGGCTCAAGCTGCTCTGAGACCTGGCACTCCCGTCGGGCTGGAAGACAGCCTGTTTGACCAGAAACAAGGCCACAAATTTCATGTTTTTGCAGCAGATAAAACTTGGACCGTTTCCAGTGTTTGGGCTGTCTTGTCTGTTATTTCTTATGTGGCGCCACTGCCAGGGCAACACTGGGATGTTGGGAAGGAGGAAGGAGACGGCATGTTTAGAGTTCATCTAGTCAGTTTGCCCACCAACTTACCCAAAGCAGACCGTGCTCACAGTTCCTCCCATCATGTCCTAAAGAATACCCATAGCTTACCACAGATCCAATCTTTGCTGAGAATGTCTGGTAGGACAACTCACTTGGCTTTGAGCTTGGCTGGGGGGGTGCTCTAGCGAAGCATGTTTCAATGTAAAACAACACAAATGCTAAAGTACAGCTACTTCTACACTATCTTGGCATTAAAAACATCCCTGGTTAGCTCCTTTTTCTTCATTGTATTTTAGTCAGGAGCTATTTCATTTAAAATTCGTTTCATTCAAATTCATTTCACTTAAATTAAATACATTAAATTTAAATATCCATCAGGCAGAACTTTAGTATAGGTATCTGCTTTCATGGAACAAAATTTTCAAAAGTATGTCCCTTCTTCCAGCTGGGCTCAGTCTTTGAAGTGACAAATCTCTCCAACTACATCAGGGTAAATTGGGGTGGTGGGCGGAAACAAGGCTTGGGTTTAAAGAACTCAAGTTTGATTTGAAACTAATCTTATTAAGAGGTAAATTGGGGTGGCGGGCGGAAACAAGGCTTGGGTTTAAAGAACTTCTCAAGTTTGATTTGAAACTAATCTTATTAAGTTCAGTATTAGTAGTAGCTACAATGAAGGATGCACGAGCAAGAGAACTGTGCAGAGAGGGTTCTGTTACCCATCGTAATTTTGTTTTCTTGAAACAGTTAAAGTGTTTTGTTTCCTGAAGGAAAAAGTGCTAAATCTAGCGCTGAGTTTACTGTTTTGTCAGTAGCACTTGGGTTTATAACAACTCTCAATAATATTCTAACAGCAGTTTGCTTTCATCTGCAGATATAGTACAGCAGGGTTTGACACCTTTTTAGACATGAAAAGACTATCTTGTCTCAAGTAACAGTTGCCATTAGTCTGTTTCACCACTATATTTCCAAGCATCTTTGCAGAAAAGCACAGAGCCAAGCCTGTGCAAATCCTCAAAGTCAAATCCCGCCCCTTCTCAAATTAGGAAATATCTCTGTTAACTAGCAAAAAAGTAATCGACTTGTTCATCAATTCTGTTGATAAAGTAGCAATTAGTAAATGCAAGGAAAATTAATTCTTCCTTTTCTTAAGCATGGTCACGCACATTGTTATGTATTTCAGTAATATCTCCCTATGAAAAAAGTAAGATCATGTGTAGCGTGGTAGTGGGATATATAGACAGGGAGGGGTGGTTTGTGTTTTGGTTTTTTTTAAATTATTATTATTTTTACATTGTATTTTTTGTAGTGCTTTCTAGATAATCCATGTAAACAGTATTTATTTTCCTTTCCGGTTGATTGCCCACGGACCTGAACTAGGGAGCTACAAGCACAAGGAACACCAAATAAATGATTCCCTTTGTTAAGCTACACTAAACAAATTTGCTACTATATCGAAGTCAATTTTAATACCTTTTGCAGGTGGAAATATTTGATACTGCAGAAAGAGACCCTATGGGTCTGCTCTGTATCTCTGCAGGAATATTCAAGCTAAAGGGATGTCGACATCAGGAGTGACAGATCAGGTAAAGTACTCCGGCTGGTACAGTAGTTCTGCAGAAACACTTTCAGAAAAGTCCTGGAAGAACGACCCATCCTTTACTTGCACCACCTCCACAGCAGGTACGCTTTTATTACTTTAGATGAAGCACCCAGATACTTCCCATTTGGGCTGACCAGGACAGACCACAGAAAGGTTTATTCAGGGTCATCAGGCTGATGCATCACATTCACTTATACGCACAGGCAGTTTAACATAATCTCGTGGGAATATTTCCTGCAGAAGAAAGTTATCTGTTACACCCACTCAACTTATTTAAGCATCATCTTCACAAGTGTGAGAGGTTGCAAAGCAGTCAGCTTTGGCAGGGTAAAAACAGTTCCAAAGAATAAAAATCATCCCTAATCCTTAGGCTGAGTAAATTACAGAAAGATGAGAAATCAAAAAACTTTAAACCCTGTAATTTCCCTTCTGTAACAAATCACAAGTTTAATTCAAGCAACAGTCACGCCCCGTGATAAATGTTCCTGCGTTTACTTGCTGCAAAGAGCAGGTACAGCCTAAATGAGAGGGCATCCTATACAGTTATTTCACATCTATTGCTGCTTCTAAAGTAGTGGCAGAAAACTTGCACAAAATTGAGATGCATTGCAAATGAAAAAAATTGAAATATTTCTGCTTTTCACGCTTGAACTGTGCTTAGGAAACCAGACTTAATTTGTAGTGATAAACAGCAACATAGTGTCTTTTTTTCCTCTGCAGTTCTTAATATCTTATTATTACATCTCATTTCTGGCTTCCATCATATGAAAAACATGAACTTGTCATAATTTTGGCACAGTATTTTCAGTGAATCACCCATTAAAGCAGTTATCCCAGCCAGATTTGGAAAACAAACAAACAAAAACCCCTCCGAAAACCACTCTTGCCCCCCAGTTCTAAAGAAAACCCTAAACCACAGAAACCCACACACTGGGTGAAGTTGTATGATGCTTCCAACAAAAGAGCACATTCCCACACACTGGAAGAGAACAAAAGTGAGGTCATTCACATGATGTTGGCATTTTTATTAAGGAAAACTCAAACTCTTGATTCCAACTTTCAGTATTCAAAATCAGCAGCAAGGAAAAGAATCATACATAACCAATAACAATGTTTTTTCACCAAAAAAAAAGGTCTGATCTCTCCACTACGGACCACTGCATAAAGAGTCTCTCCATTTACAGTCTCCAGGTGACAGCTACTCTTATTCTCCTTCGCAGTTCTATTCTTCTAGCTACCCTCTCACATCCGCTGGGTGGTTAAGAGTCTCCAGAAGGGAAAGACCATCTTCAAAACTGAAAATAAGTTTCCAATATTTTGGATATTTTGCTCATTTCCATAATACATTTCTCATTTGGAAAATCAACCATAAATAAACTTTCTCCATCTTCCAACAGGGGAAAATAAGAAACTACCATTTTGGCTAATCACAGATTATATTATCCATAATTATGAACAATTCAAAGCAGGCAAGGAGGCACTTCCTAATCAGCTGTTGAAGACAACTTTTTTTGTGTATGAACAGAGATTGGGAGGAATTTAGTATTATTATTAAAGAGGTAGGAAGAACACCTTCAAAACTGCAATTGTATTCAAGCTCCCCCTTTAAAACCAAACATTTACATGATATTATTAAAAAAATCTGCAATATCCTCATTAGATTTTGATTTTCTGTAACTTAACCTTCATTCTAGTGTAAGCAGAAGTGAGCGTCAGATGGGATTTTTTCTCATCTTTAAGAAAAAAAATGTCCCAAACTCTAAATGTTTGATTAAACAGCCATCAAATTTCTTTAAATATTACATATGACAGCAACAAATCCAGAATATCTTTACATGGCTTATTCCATTCTTTGGAAGATGCACACACTCGAAGAATAGTTTATTACAGGGCACAGCAGATATAAATTTAGCTACCCTGAAAGGTACATCTGCTGTGTGTATCTCTCTGGTCCTTCAGAGATAATCAACACAACCAGCATCCCAGGATTTGAAGACCCATTTTAAAACTAGCAAAATTAAGTTAGTGGAGCAGAATGGAAAATTTCAGTTGGAAAGAGCTGTACCACTTTGTCTAATTAAGACTATCCAACAGAAGTGCAGGCACTATTTTAATAAGTCTGTTTTTATAAGCAGAAGGACTAATAGCTGTACACAAAATCCTCACAATTGGCTGGGAAAAAAAACCCACCTTATTTCATAAACAACTCCCCCTGCTCCCTTGTATACTATATTCTAATGCTTATGTATCAAATTCCGAATGTAATCAAGTCCAGAATGACTGGCACTTGCCTATAATCAACTACTGGGTCCTTCTGCTAACATTTCAGTTTCAAACTTTAGCACCAGCATGCAGCATTCCACAGCACTTCTTGTTCATCAAAACTGTGTCCACTTAAAACTGATACAGCACACTGCAGAAACTTTGAGAAAGAACTCCCTAAGAGCTGAAGGTTCAGAGTTAATTGTTGTCATAACCTATTTGATGGAAACCTAATTGATTTTGATTCTTCCTTTTAGTCTTTCAGACAGAGGAAGGGGACTGTCTGCCCATGCACAAGTCAGAACAGCACTACTGGCTTGCTGTGTGGGTGCAGAACCCAACCTCTCAAATGGTTGCTCTGGACTTTGGGAACAATTAACTTCCCCTTCAGAGGACAGTTTTGGAGACACTTGCAAAGAGAAACTATGACCAGCTTTTTTAAAATTGGTCTTTTCCTTCCCTTTCATTGTAAGTGCTGAGTCACTGTTTGTTCTTTTGCTAGTAACAACATTACTCCTTTTCTTTGCAAAACATTTTTTAAACTGACCAGGGTTCAGTTGCCTTTTCTGCTGCTCATAAATCAGATTTTCATTCGTGTTCCCATCATCACTGTCTTCACTAGAAGAACATCTCTTCTGACACACACTCTTTGTAAAAGAAGTTTTCCAAGCAGTTTGAGCACCAGCTTTTTTAATGTGACAGCCAGTTACAACATCTGCTGGCTTTTGAGACGCTGGAAGCATTTCACACCCAGGATGCAGTGTCTCTGTTTGCCCACTGAGGGCTAGAGATGCTAAACTGCTTATATTATGGCCTTTTTGCATCATTTCAGCCAGGCTGTCATCTTTTTTATACTGATCTTGATAACTGTGTACACTGGATTCCCTGGCATAGTTTTCTGATAGCACATTTTTACTTTCCTGCACTAGTTCATGTAACTGATGTGAGGAAGAGACATGATCTTTATCAGGGTTCAATGTTTCCTTTGTTTGTTTAAAACGCTTCAAAGACTCCAGTTGCATTACACCTTCAGACAACAAAGGGTTTGACAGAACAGAAGTCTTCTTAAGTATTTGCTCGCTTAAAGACCACTTCTGAAGTTGTCCCAGAGCATCGTCTGAAACCAAATCATCTGCACTATCAGAATGATGTTGATCAGATTGCAGAGCATCAGAATATTCTGAACTATTTCTCACTGTTTCACGAGCTAGTGGATACGAGTGTTTTACGCGTGTAATTAAGTCAGCTGCTGCACCAGGGCTATTACCCCCATGGGCCGGTGAAGCGCTGAAGAAGGTTCCTTCCCAATCAATACTGCTCAGTTGTAGACCATCTGTTACAGAGGAAGAGGATGATACCCCTGAATTTTTAGTAAATTGTGCTGGCAATACAGACGAGTCAGCCAACGTACTCTGTAAGACTGAGTAAGGTGATGCAGCCAGAGGAAGAGCAGCTGCTGATGCTGGCATTTCAACAGTTGTTATGCAGGAAGCTGCAGCTAACACTAGATCTTTTGATTCAGTACTTCTTTGGTACATCTGAACTTCTGATAGAGTTCTTGTATCTGATGCAGAGTCTTGCACAGGAAGAATTCCACATCTAGACTTTAAATTCATTTGAGACAGAAGATCACTAACTTCATCATAAACATTTGATAATTCCTTTTCTTTTGATCTGTCTTTCCTGTCTGAAAAAAATAAAAAGGGCATAGCAAAATGGCATATTAATCACAGTTCAGATTTCAGGGAATCACAGAATGTTAGGGGTTGGAAGGGACCTCGGAAGATCATCTAGTCCACCCCCCCTGCCAGAGCAGGACCACCTAGAGTAGGTGACACAGGAACACATCCAGGCGGTTTTTGAATGTCTCCAGACAAGGAGACTCCACAACCTCTCTGGGTGGCCTGTTCCAGCGCTCTGTCACCCTCACAGTGAAAAAGTTCTTCCTTATGTTAATGTGGAACCTCCTATGCTCCAGCTCACACCCGTTGCCCCTTGTCCTGTCATTCCAGGACCCCCAGGTCCCTTTCCCCTACGC